CGAAAGCTTTACTAACACAAGCCACTCTCAACTCAGGGACAGGCTATCACTATCACGATCAACATATAAAGGCGAAGCTTAAGGATCCACCCCCCCCCCCCCCCCATTTTTTTAACGCTCTCGCGTTAAGATTACTCAAGTCTGTTCTCGCCCATCACCTGTGGCACATACCCGCCCGTGGATATTTCCCGCACGTTCTGGCGAAAAGGTTTCAACAATATGCGTGACGGGATCGTCACATTCTGGTTGATATATGGGGTTTAACTTCCCAAAACCACCGTATGATTATGGGAGACGCCGTAGTGGAGAGCTCCGGGAATCACAACCACCTGGGGTTCTTTAACGTGCACCCAAATCAGAGCACACGGGCCTACGGCATTTTCTGATCCAATGAAAATGAAGCCGCCGCAGCCCGGATTCGATCCCGCGACCAGTGGGCCAGCAGCCGAGTACCTTAGCCACTAGACTACCGCAGCGGGGCAGGGGGATTGTCACATTCTTCATGTCATGACCAGTGATGCCATATTTATCAGACTATCTTACCCTCCCACACTAATTTTCGTTATCCCCCAAGTTAAGGGGTTGATCGCGAGAGCACCCAGAAGATGGAGGCGGCTAGATAGATAGATAGACAGACAAATTGATAGATGACAGATGTATTGATAGATAGATAGATAGATAGATAGATAGATAGATAGATAGATAGATAGATAGATAGATAGATAGATAGATAGATAGATAGATAGATAGATAGATAGATAGATAGATAGATAGATAGATAGATAGATAGATAGATAGATAGATAGATATAGATAGATAGATAGATAGAAGGATGGACGGACGGACGGACAGACAGACGGTCGCTAAATGTATGCCTGCAGTACGCAAAGAAATGCTTAGCATTTGAAAAGTCACTCTAGTACACTATAAAACGCTCCTTGCGTGGACTGCACAGTATGCACAGTAATCTGGTTGCGCTGTATTTGGTGCGGCCTGGCGAGTCGTCTCCCGAACAAAAGAGCGCGTGCGAAAGCGAAAGCTGTCTGACCGGCCACGATGGAAGATGAGGGCGCTGCATATCGGCGAGGTAATATAGGAGGGTAAGATAGTCTGACAAATATGGCATCGCTGGTCTTGATTACGCGTGGGAATATTGTAATAGAACAGAAGGCAGCAGAAAGGGGGGTGGTATTGGGGCATTCGTTCATAAAAGTACAGACTGGTAAAGGGTCAAGCAGGAGTGCAAGGAACATTTATGGCTAAAAGGGAAAGTGGCAGGGCAAATGACACTCCTTGGTTTCATGTACTTGTGACGGGAGCAAACGCCACAGAGGAAAACCAGGCAATGGTAGAGTGTATATCAAAGGACATTCAGGAGTTAGGAGGAGAGCGCGAGATAATTATACTAGGAGATATGAATGCGCACATAAAAGATATAGATGGGTATACCGACCCGACAGGAAAAATTTGATATGTGTGAAAGTCTTGATTTGATAATTTGCAACAGTACCGAGAAGTGTGAAGGGCAAATAACATGGGAGGTAGGAAGGCTGCAGTCGACGATAGATTACGCACTGATGTCACATAAGATGAATGATAAGCTCAGGGGAATGCACATAAATGAAGGTGGCTCAAGAAGTCTGGGTAGTGATCACAAACGTATCAAGCTAAGTTTTGGAAGAGCAGTGAAAGTGGGAAGGAGACAAAATGAGCAGCTACAAGAAAATGTTTATTCAGAAAGGCAAATAGAAATAGCCACTAAACAAATCGAGAAAGTAATCACTGAGGATAATAAAACAGTGTGGACATACACGGATCTAATTAGACTGTTTGAGTTAAAGCTTGCTAAGGCACGAGTTACGTTCCGTTTAGTTCTTTCCACTCGCCTCTCGCTTGTTGAGCGACATTTGCTGCTGCCGCTAAGGAAGCCGAAGACGAGAACTTTTCATCTGCTGGCACCTTGAGGAAATGACCGCTCCGACATCCTCTTGATATAGAGACGTTTATTCGTTTTCCTTCTCTCCTCACTGTCCCTGCACCCCTCGTTTTATCCCCTGTCCCCCCATTCAACCACTCTTACAGTCCAATCAAAACGCACCACTCTTATAGTCCAATCAAAACGCACAGATGTGTCTCTCCTCGCCACAACCTCGAAGACCCACCGCCTCTTGCCCACTCATCGGTTCTCCGCCGTCGCTCGGGTTTCTTTCACACCGGTTTCCGGAATGGTCGATGACGGGTGTTGCCAGGTCGTGGAAAAGCGCCTCTGAGTAAATTCCCGCGATGCCGGGTTGACAGGCCATCAATACAATTGGTCCCTGTGCCAATGCCGTCGCCTCCGCTGATTGTCCGGCGGACGCGTACGTGTACCTTCCACGTGTACCGGCCACGTGTACCGGCCACCTGCAGCCTGGCTTGGTCTCCTGTAAGGCGCCATAATTGAGCCCGACAGCGGCACGGGAGTTGTCGCGTCCTTTGTGGCCAGCAGACAGTCATCGTC